AATACCGTAATACAACCAAAATATATACGAGAGCTGGCGGAGGAATATATCTTGGTTTGATTAGAATATTCATTTGTTGTATTCACCACTTCGCGGTCGTATCTAGCTTGTTCCGAGTATTACCAAAATATTCCCGAAGTATTACAGCAATACAACCAAAATATATACAACCAAAATATCTTGATTTAATTACAGAACTATATACAACCGAAGTACTACCGCAATACAACCAAAATATTTTTTGTTGTATTCACCACTCTGCGGTCGTATCTAGCTTGTTCCGAGTATTACTAAAATATTCCCGAAGTATTACAGCAATACAACCAAAATATCTTGATTTAATTACAGAACTTTTAATTACAGAACTATATACAACCGAAGTACTACCGCAATACAACCAAAATATTGTGGTTTGATTAAATTTTTTTTTACAGAATACTATTAAGGTATTTTAGTAATACCACTATAATACCACAATAATATTATAACAATGAAATGCAATAATAGCATAACACAATAATACGACAATAATACTACAATATTACGACAATAAAACTACAATAATACGACAATAATACTATAATGATTATTGTAACTAATAATACAGAAATACTACAATAAAATGACAATAATACGACAACAATTATTGCAAGAATACTATAACGATTATTACAACTAATAATTTAGAAATACTACAATAAAACGACAATAATACGAGAATAAGTTAACGAAATACGAGAAGAATAGCATAACACAATAATACGACAATAATACTATAATAATACGATAATAATACTACAATAATACGATAATAATACTACAAAAATATGACAAGAACACTATAACGATTATTGTAACTAATAATTCAGAAATACTACAATAAAATGATAATAATACGAGAATAATTTAACGATTGAAATACAAGAATAATAATATTAACAATGAAATAAGTCTACTCATTACGGTTTTGTACCCACAAACAAATATCTTGGGCAAGCTCTGCCCTAAATTTTGGCATTTATGCCTACCAGTCTATATCTTCACTCCAATCATGTCTATAGTTTTGTACTAATTTTTGCATAAATTTACAGATAAACATCCCCAATCAACACTGTTGGTTTGCACGGGAACACCTCTAACCAATGAAATTTTCCATTTCCCGGGTTTAGCCCTGAAAGAAGCTTCCACATCATGGGCAAAAAATTTGATCTACACAGTTAATTAATAATCAGTAAATGGACAAACCTGGTGAAAATTGCAGAAACAATAGCTTTAACAATTGAGAGTAACTTACAACGTCGTTGCACACGGCTTTGTGCATCTGGTTGGGTGATGAATCATACATTTTCCACTTCCACTCACCCAAATCAGCAACCAATAAAACCTAGTGTTGGATATTCAGAACAGGAATCATAATGATATCAACATTCAGAACTGCTTCTTTAGTGATATCCCACAAATGATGTGGGGTTACCCATTTTATGATAAGTCTGTATAATAAAACAAAGTGTTAACACATTCATATTGTTATTGAAATTCTATATATAATTAAATATGGTTGTTTAGATATTTAGATGCGGTCTTACCCAGTATAATGGTGATACATAAATGTAAGGCCTAACAAGAGATGAATTTGCATTCCTCTTATTGCTCAAAATCATCGCTTGAGCGTCGACATGGTCATTTGCAATTATGTCATTGCACAATAACTCTATCATTGCCCGACGATCTATAAAAATGTCTTTCAAGTGCAACATAATATCACTCATGCATAATAGTACAAATTCTAAATATAATAAAGAAGTTGTCTTCATTCACTTAATCCCAAATGAAGTTCATTATAAAAGACACAGATTCACTCACTTATTGATGTATTTTGTCATGACTTGATCGATCACCATCTGTGTTTCAGCTGATACCATAGATCTGCTAGGATAGTCGATCTGGGAGATAGCTGGAAGAGGCTACAAAAAAAAATTATGTCACATCACCTGCTCATCTGAAATACACAGGTAATTTAGATGATATAAGACAATGTATCAAAAATAAATTACAAATAACACATTAACAACATCTGGCTGATCTCCTGGAGTTGTTAGTGTTAGGACAGGTGATCCTTCTACTTCTTCATCTTCAACTCTATGTTGTCCCTCTACATTGAGGTTCGTATGTACACTAGGAAATACAATTATTTGAAGACCCATCTCTGCTACAGGGTCTATTATTGGTTCTTCAGTAATTTGTTGTTCTTCTACTATGGTGGTGGTATGTACAACAGCATCTTCCTCGGGTATCATCGACTCATCGACTTCACCTGTTGTTTTTCTTCTCTTCAGTTCGAGGGCAGTGAAAGGTGAACTCACTGTCTTCTTTCTTCTGCCCCGTCTGCCCTTAACCCTCTGTATTAAGCTGGCAACAAACCATTCAACTTTATATCCTTCAACAGGGGTTCCTTCTTCCACAATAGCCGGCGGCTGGATTCCCGCTTCTCCAACATAAGTTGTATGTTGGGTAACATCAACAGAAGCTGAATGCTGGGTAACAAAATCATGAGGACTCCACCCATGAGGGGAGGCTGGCTGGGGATCATCTACTCTGATCTATTCGCCTTTATTAGTTGGAATATTTTCAGATTTATCAAACTCATGTTGCAGCACCGACATTTGCCCCTGCAAACTCGACGCTCCAACAGTTATTGTATTCAAGGTTCCTTGAAATTCAGTGAACCATTTCTATTGGTCTTTAAGTAGCTCGACTATTGATTCCATGCTTTTATTTATTGTGGTATACAGTGGCTCAGGGGCGATGTCCCCTGAATCAACTGGCCCCATATCAAATGATACAGGTGCCTCTGGTCTGCCTTGGACTTGCATCACCAGAACTGGACCAGGTAATCCTTCATCTAGATTGGATAACAGATTGAGCTCATCCTCTTTAAGATCCAAAAATTTATGATGAAGCTACGAGTAATTTCAAAAAGAAACGCTTTGATCATTACTAGTTTCAAATTAACATAATAATTTAATTAGAAATTAAAAATATATGTAACTTGCCTGATCAGGAGTCAGCATCTTAAAAGTTATATCAAGTTGAGATGAGCTCAAGCTTACAGTTGTTGGCCACCTCAACATTCGAGGTCTAGCCTCAGGATTCGCAGGAGTAACCAAAGAAGTGTGCTCATAAAACCAGAGCTGTGTGAAAAAAAGGCATATTCAGCTTTACAAAAAGAAATAAATAGCATTTGACTTTAATAAGATGTACTTACCGTTAGCAAAAAAAGAAAACCATTTATATATCCAAGAGGTTGGTTCCGCCTTATTTTGATGGAAACCACATTTATTTGTTCAATAAGATATTCACATAGCGCAGCGGGCAAATTAAATGAAGCAAACGTATCTACATTCTCTCCAAAGATGTAAAGTCCTTTGGATACACTGAAATTACTAGACGGAAAGAATAAATTTGATAACAAATAGTTTATATACAATTGATTAAAAGGGGCAGAAGACTCCCCAGTTCCGAAGTTCAAAAGATCAGCCTTCATTTGACGGGCATCAACGCTACAGGATGGAACTTTCTTCCACTGTGGAACTTCTCCTCTATTTGGCATGTCAATCAAAATGACAACTTCATCAGGATTAATCCTTAGATCTTTCCCTCCCAGTCTGAAAGCTATTTTTTCATGTATCCAACATTGCAATATTTGAAGTGTGACCACATTGTCTTGGGGATAAGGTGGAAGTGCAAAGAACTGATCAACATTCAAGGTTTTCAGTTCATTTCTCATCTCGTCAGATACAGCAGGCCTGACCTTATCAAGCGCATCTCTAACTACAGATGGTCGACATCTATAACTCATGGATTTTGGGTTCACAAACCTACATCAAACAAAATAATGCAAAAAATATAAGGGATTATGTAGAAATGTTTTATTTCGGGAATACTATGGTAATATTTAAGCAATATTATGTGATCTCGTATAATATTATTTATGTTATATTATAGTAATACTTACGTTGTATTCTGGCATTGTAGTATTTAGGTTATATTCTGATTGTATTGTCGTTGTATTTTTGGTACTTAGGTTTAGTACTTAGGTTATATTATAGAAGTTTTTACGTTATATTCAGGTATTAATATTATCAAGGTTATATTATGGTGTAATATTAATGTTATATTCTAGTAGTTTTTCTGTTGTATTCTATTATTATTATAGTATTATTTTTGTAATACTCAAGTAATATTTAGTATTTAGGTTACTAAGGTTATATTCTAGTGTTACTCAGGTTTAGTACTTAGTTTATATTATTGAAGATTTTCCGTTCTATTCAGGTATTAATATTATTAAGGTTATATTCTGGTGTAGTATTAATGTTATATTCTGGTAATTTTTCCGTTATATTTTGTTATTATTATAATATTATTTCTGTAATACTCAGGTAAGATTAAATGACAAGTTTTTGCGGTTTAATGTTGGTTTTCTTAAGATAATATTGTGTGCACTTGTGTACAACTCAAAAACACTAAAATAAAAATTACATGGATGAACCATTTTATTTCGCCATTTCCCTTCCTTTTTCTTGCGTTTCTCGGCCTGCATTGTCGATTCCTCTTCAGTATCCATTATCAAGGGCTCTTCCGTCTCTATTCTCATTATTTCCCTTCCTTTTTCTTGCGTTTCTCGGCCAGCATTGTCGATTTCTCTTCAGTTTCCATTATCAAGGGCTCTTCCGTCTCTATTCTCATTGGTCTCTCTTCGGTTTCAAACAACAACTCTAAAATCCTAAGCTTTTTCTGATTCAAAAACTCTAATAGATGGAATGAAGATCGAATGAAGGTGCTTTGTACTCTCCTCGCTCGGGCGTTGTTTGGTTTTCCGATGAAATAAATTTTCTTTCAGACATTTTCTTTCAGACCGCGCTGTTAACTTTTAATTGTTTCGGGTCATATTCAGGTCAGGTCGGGTCGGGCATTAAGCATGCCTTAATTTAATTTTCCAGGTGCCACGGAATAAGAACTCCGGCAGCTGCCACCCTTAACACTCTTTGACGGCAGGAACTTCACAATTTCCCCTCGGCTCCCGTTTCCATTTGTCCCGCAACGATTCCAATGGCTTCCTTGATTCGAATGCCGTATCCTCTCATTCTCCTTCTCATCCTCATCATGGCTACAGCCTCCCATTCTCATCCCATGCAAGGGGTAAGCATTTCTCGATGAACCCTAACCTTTTTCACTTCTGCCACGCAAAGGAATCTCTCCCATATAAAAAAGATTTCTAATTGTTGGTTGCGTGTAATCTGCAGTTTTGCTCAGTGGAGAGCGACCCGGAGCTGACTTCTTCCTCGGGAAAGATTTTGATTAAGCATGGAACTGTGGTCAACGCTCATCACAAGGTGGTAGCGGATGTGTACATAGAGGATGGGGTCGTCGTCTCTGTCCGCCCGAACATTGCGGTACATGATTTTTTCTTCAGGGGATTAACTCTTATGTTTATTTGTGAGGCTCAATACATTTATTTTGAGTTATGATACGGTTACACTTCACAAATAAATTTTCATCCAAAATTTTCTGCATTACTGTGTTACAAAAAGCTATGAACTTTGAAGTTTTATCAAATATAAGATTTTTTACTTTAATCTTATTTCATTCTGTATAATATATATTATTCTTAGAATGATATTGATTCATATAAGTATGTCAGATGCAGGGCTTTATTTTAATTGAATCAAGGCCTGCTACCTGCTAGGTGTCCTATTTTTGGTAGGATTTAAACAAGATTTAGTTTTATAATCCTCCCAAATAGATTTAGGTGACTTTAAACTCAGTAATGGTGCTGGAATTGGATTTATCAAAGTAGTATGATTTTGAATCTCCAAAAAATAGTTTGGAAGGATTTAAACTAAATCTTGCTTAATTCTTGTCTAAAATTTGATACCGAAGTCCCTTAAGTTGTTTAACTCTTATTTGATCTTTGACCCAAGTATAAAAATCCTTGAAAGTGATTCATTTGGCACATTCTCTTATAGAGTAACCACTAAATTTTATTTTTCCATATAAGATGCCACATTGGCTGGTGATATGGCCTTTTTTCAGAATGTGAATTTGTTTGGCGAGTTTTGTTTAGTCATGTAATTATTTTTTGTCTCATATGTAAATAGAGTAGTTTTCTTTCACATAAACTTTGTTGTATTCTAGTTGGTAGTTCCTCGGCTTAAGACTAGATTCACACTTAAAATTGGGCAGCATCGCATTCACTAATTACTATTATCAAAAAACATATATAATTTTTTTATTTTATATACAATGTCTCTGCAAATTTTAATTTTAATCAAGTATATGACAGGGTATTCAAAAGTTGTTTTACTTATAGTGAATTTGAATCAGTATTAGGAGTTATCAGATTTAATATCTTTGGAAATAAAATTTTATTAGATATAGACTTTTTAATTGGATATATGATCTTTTACCTGAATCTGGGGTTTAATGCTGATAAAAGAATTTTAATCTACGAGTTTTTACACTATTGTATAAGATGTTTCACATAGATATAAGGTCTTTTATTTGAGTGAAAATCTGTGAAAGTCTTAAATTTAGTACAACTTTTATAAAATAACTACCACATTTGAATTTGGCCAAATCAGCTGCTATGGATAGGTGATATGGCCTTATTTCTTAATTCTAAACATGTGAACCAAAAGTTGATTTATTTTATGTGAATTTTGTTGTACTACAATTAGTATGTAACTCAGGATCTAGATTTTTTTTTTGAAGTCTTATCTTTGATGAAAGTATGCTTTGTTATTAATATTTGGTGCAATTACATAACACTTAGAACTTGATTATTTAGAAGACAAACCCCCTATTGTATCCATTTTCAACCAAATATTAAAATTCACAACAAAAGGTCAACCCATATTTTGCCTATTTTTCTCAAAATTTCAATGGTTTGATCATGGCATGTGCAAATACATAAATTGATAGTTCAAAAAAATGACAAGGCAACATTCCAAAAATTCTAGGATCCCTAGACACTTCACTTATACTAAAATTTTGGGAAATTTACTTTTGTTTATAAACATGAAAGATATAATGCATCCTTAGTTGCAGATGATTTGATACATAGCAATGACTTGTCTTCATTTTAGGTTTTTTTATAATAATTTGTGAGAACTGTGATCTTCATCCTCAAACTATTTGGATTTTGACGCCAACTTAATTTTTGTAGGTTCGTTATAAAAGCTAATTTCTTTTTTATGATGTAGCGTGGACAAAATTTTCTTGAAATTTTTACTTACATTTTTTAGCAATCTTTTAGGTCACATCTATCATCATTAGTACACATTGTTTGTTTTTTCTATGTAGTCATTAATAAACTCTTTTATTCATCCCTTTATAAATGTTTTCTTTCAAATGAACTAATTTAGATAGAATTATTGAGGGATAATTAAATCCTCAATTTTTCTGTGCAAATCGTTCAACCTATTTACAATTAATATTTTTGTTTGGAATAGAAATACCTTATAAACCTAGAGCTTATGACAGGTTGGTGATGATGTGAAAGTTATTGATGCTACGGGGAAATATGTCATGCCAGGTATTACTTTCTGGTGCATTGGAAACTTGTTTGCTTATACTATATATGATTATTTTTATGGAATTTTACATATGTAGCACACAATTCTTATTTATTTATATATCTCACACCTAAACTTTCATATTTACATATATAACACTTCGGTGCTTTAAACCGGTGGAAGCTGAGAAATTCGGCTCTTCTCCATGGTGGGCGGGCAACTGCTTCACAAAATCATGGAAAGATTTGATTAGGGATATCTTTGGAAACTCCTTTCTTAATTTCTTTTTCTTACTATTTTATGTTTTTTTTTTTATTTCAGAGTTATTTCCTTTCCTAATTTAGACTAGATATATTTGGGTAGTTTATAAATTAGCAGGGATTGGTTTCTCTATATATATGTGTTATACATGTGAAAAATAAAAAAAAGAAGAATTTTTTTCCTCCCAAAGTTAGTTTTCTATGTGGTATCAAAGATCTCAGAAATTTATCTCGTTCATTGTCGTTTGAGCATCTCCTTTGACGCTCGCAAAAGCTTTATCGCCGCTTTGTCCTTGACTCGTCGTCCTGCTAGGTCATCGTTGGTTTGTTGTCGTTGTGTCGTCTCACACGTTGTCTGGCCCTTCTGCATTTGTCTTTCAAACTTGTTTCCATCTCTTTCGTTTGCTTGCAAAAGCAAGACAGACAACCGGAATACCTTTTGCATTCATCTGTACATTTGAAGATCAGCGGCGTTCTTCCTTATCTCAATCATTTGTGACATAGACTTTTTTTGTTTGCAAAACTCTCTATATTGGACACCTCGTCCTTTGTCCGTGGCATCATCTGTCTTGTCCTTTGGTTTCATCTTGCAATGTCGGTCGTAGCTCGAGTATGGCTTCAATTCACGTTGCCTTTGGATTTTTGGGTCATCTTCGGAGATTCTCCACCTTGAGCTTCTTCTTATTTATCTACCTTCGACACTGTCTTCGACTTCTCCATCTCCAGTGGCGTCTCTATCTGATCTCCTTACATTCGACTCCGAACGCCCGATGCTTCGTCTGCGTCGATCGTGCATTGGTTTGTTTGCTTTGAGCAACACAGAACCCTTTGCTTCAAATGACACATGATATGTGTCAACCGCACATATGTTCATTTGGATCACTCAATTGCTTTGATCACTCTGTCTAGTTAGCTCGTCTGCTTCATCTAAAGCGTTATCTGGCTCGGCCTGAATCCTGCGACAACCCTCATCTGTCGGTTCTTTCTGGCTCCTCTTCTCTGCAGTTGTATCTCTTGCTGCAGACCCTTCCCTTCCCTGTTCTCCTTTACCATTACAACTCTCCCTATAGCTAAAATCCTTCTGCTGTAAGCTCTCCTATATCAAAATCCCTTCATCTGATTTGCAGGCCCTCCTCTAAAGCCCCTCCTCTTCTTCCTAGCATTAGAATTCTTTATACAGGATCTCTTCTGTTCAATTTCTACCCCTAGAATCTTCCTGGTGGCAGCAGACCCTCCTCCACCGGATTCTCCCCACGGGCACCTTCTTTGTTGGAATTCTCCTGTCCCGCAATAGCAATAATGGCAACAACAATAGCAAGCAACAACATTAGTCGCAGCCGATTTTACTTCTTTTTTGTAGCAGTTATTTCTCTACATGCAGAACAACAATCAACTCCTTTTCTGCAACTAGCAATAGTTCTAAATATGCATAGGGTTTATGAACAAGTACAGGTTGAAGGCGTCAAGATCTATTATTAAGATTAATTCTGAACAACACATCAACTTAGTGACACACTAAGGTAATATATTATTCTCCTATTTTGCCAACAATGAGAATTTAGAACTTGAATAATAGATTGAAGAGTCTCTAATCATATGAGCGACGACATCAATGCTCTAATCAACTATCAACAGGCTTCAACATTTAGATCGATCAAACTTGTTGATGGATCACACTAAATAATTGCTGGAAAAGAAGATGTGGAGCTATCTTAGGATATTAATCTTTCATAAGTTTTATATATTCTACAGTTAGACTGCAATTTGATTTCAATTAGTATACTTAATCTTGATTTAAAATGTATAACTAAATTCATTGCAAATTTATGAATTTCAAGTGGCAAGGTCGGAGAAGGTGATTGACAATGTTGAAATGCATCAAGCTAATACCCGCTCAAGAAAAATTTCTCTAAACACACAAATGATCCTACCTCCATTTTATCTCAAATTTTTGAGTTTGTTGAGTCTATATTTATCGAAAAATATGTTATTCTATGACATTATCGCCTAGATCATTCTAATTTCAATTTTGTTACAAAGTTGCATCCTCATTTGTTTATCAATAAAAATCCTAGTTCTTATCAATATGAGATCTATTAATTTGTCAAACACGCTAAAAATAGTTATCCCATGTCTTATTTCAAAGCCTCACACCTTTTTTAATAATTCACAATGATATTTGGGGAACCAAGATGAAAATTCTAAGCGGGGTTAGATGGTTGGTCTAATTTATTTCATTTGCCCTAGAACAAACTGGGTATTCCTAACGAAAGAGAAATCTGAAATAGACCGAATCTTCCAAACCTTTCATGACATGGCTTATACTCAATTCTAATGCAAAATTCAAATCATCTAAACAAATAATGCAAAAGAATATTTTAGTTTCATTCTCGGTTTCTATTTTTTAAAAAATAAAATCAGCTGTGTGTATCATTTGTTTATGATTTTCCATCAAGTTCCAAAATATTTTGGGGGAAGCAGATATTTCTACACATCCTTTATTAGTTGGGTACTTAACTTCAGAACACATTTTCATGTTTTGATGGTTACATATCCTCTTATTAAAGCATTCTCTTCTACTATACCGTTTAAAATCTTTGTGTGTGTATCATTTGTTCACATCTATTCCCAAAATCACACAAAATTTGGCCATAAATCAATCAAGTGTATTTTTCTTGAGTATGACTCTAATAGGTATAAATGTTACTCTCTTATTACCATAAAATACTATAATTTTGTGGATTTCATATTTTTTGAAAATCAATCATTCTACTCCAAATTTGATGTTCATGGGTGGAGTGCAAATGAACATCAATTTTGGAATGCGCTTAATGACATCTATAGGCCCTCCCCACCTACCCACCTAGCCCTCCTATCCTGGTCGAGGATCTCCAAATAATCCAACCAACTCAACCTGAAGTTCATAACAAAGAACTTCGTGTGTACGCAAAGAAAAAGAAAAACATTGAGCAAGTGAAATACAATTTGCAAGGAAAAAAATGCTCATACCAAAATCCCAGTTCGCATTGATTAGAAATTTTGGGTCAAGAGTCTAGTACTCATTAATTATCCCCTTCCCCTTTTGATGCTGATGATAAGAACATTATATGTCCAATTCAAGGGTATGTAGCTTATGAGAAGCTATCCTCATCCTAGAAAGCTTTTATTGCTAACCTTGATAATGTGCAAATTCCTAAATTCATTCATGAATTATTTGAAAATTCAGAATGGAGAAAAGCAGTTGAAGAGGAGATTCAAGCACCAAGTATAATGACAAATGAATTCTTGTTGAACTCCCTCAGGATAAGAAGCCAGTTAGATTCAAATGGGTGTTTAAGTTGGTGGGGAACTGAGAGATTCAAAGTCAGACTTGTTATAAAAGGTTTCACTCAAGTCTATGCGCTTAACTATCAGGAGATCTTTACATCAGTTGCTAACTAAACAGTAAACACTATTAGAGTTCTTTTATCAGTAGCACTTAACAAGGAATGAGAGTCGCATCAACTTGATATAAAAAATACCTTCCTGAACGGGAGATCTGGAAGAAGTGTATATGGAGATACCACCAGGAGTTGAGAATGATTCCATCAAACCGATAGTATGCAAACTCCGGAAGTCTCTCAAATTACCAAACGTGTGATTTGAAATGTTTGCTAAATCTATGAGATCTAATGGATATTCTCAAGATCAAGTTGATCATTTGTTGTTCACAAAACACACTCAAAGAGGTAAGATTGTTACATTGATAATATATGTGGATGATTGTCGGCCGTTTTTTAACTTTTTATTTTTCGTGATTTGAAAAAGTGAATGATTTTGTGATTTTGAAAATAATTTAAATATAAATATAACCTTTTTTTGATTTTTTAAATGTAACATTTTAATTTTAAAATAGGTGAGACCAAGCGGGTCTCACATTTAAATAGTTTAGATGATTGAATATAATACTACAGGTAACACACTTATCCCGACGAATAAATATATCACTTGTAATAGGGATTCAATCACCTAGACTAAAAAATTTGTGACATTCATATTGGTCTGCGAAATATTTTATAAAAATGCCAACAAGTTCCCCTACCTAACATAAAAAATTAGATAGGGTTTATTTTATCTGGGTTCTAGGTTCCTTATAGAGGCATGCCCCTATAGTTAATTACATCTTAAATGATCGAAATCACTTAAGAAAACTCTCGATTAAGATCAGGTGACTTTGCCTTCAAGATTTCAAAGTTTAAGTTTTCACGATTGGACATGGGGAAAAAAACCAAATGGGAATAGCTCAAAATAGGAACAATTATTTAAGGAATCCAAAGGGAAGAAAATTAGGGGATATCACAGTTCTGGGGAAAACCCCGGTGAACTCCCAACTATTCTGTTGTTTGGCTTTATGTCTTTGAAGTGATGATTATTTGATATTTCAATCCTGCAAATTATTTAAGATTTAGACAGGAGGATTTACACCGTACCGTACGGTAACCTCGAAATCCTAAAGCGTTAGGACTTGTAATTGTACAACAAAGTTGTACAAAAAACCTAAAAAGTGATCCTATAGATTGTTATTTAAACTAAAAATAATAATAGGTGATGTGAATGTGTTCATGTGATGTGAAGATGTTTTACTGCTGCAAATCCACCTGGAAGTTGTTCCTTGTCGCGCTGCCTATGCTGTTTGCTCCGAGTCTCTCGTAGTAGCACCTCTTGGTTTAGTTTTAGTTTTGAAAATACACCTAACCACTAGATTATCATAATCTTAGGCA